AAAAAAAAAAAAAAAAAAAAAACCCCTCTTCCTCTCCATTATCTTAGACCAAAAGATGTTACAAAAGTTATGCATGTTGTTTAACAGCATCGTCAAACATTATCAGTGGTGGCAAACAAAAAAGTAACAAACATTATCAGAGAATTAATTTCGATCTTCTTTAGTGATAGGTTGTCAACAGCATGTCCACTCTTGATGTCCGCTCATAAAATGTTCAAACGTCCTTTTCCCTCTTCTTCATTTCCTTGGTAATTTCCATTCATTCAAAATAAAATGTTCAAACGTCAAGGCTTATGGTTAGCATTGTTCATTTTTACTATATTTAATAATTTTTTAATAAAATAAAAATATAATAATTTATTAATAAAATTTTATATTTATTTTTAATTAAATACTACTTAAATAAAATTTTTTATTTAATATATTTTGTAATTATTTTTTTAAGATAAATGTATAATATGAATAAATGTATTCAATGACATCTTAAAAAAATAGACAATTAAGTTTAAATATCTCAAATAAAAAATTAAGTTTACTAAAATTGAATTGAGGGAGTACTATTTTAGCTAAGCTCAACAAATTATTTTCTCCAAATTTTAATCTTTTCATTTGGACTATATATTTGGTTTGAGAAAAATGGAGAGGAAGGAAAGTGTTAAATTTTACAACTAATTAAATTATAACATTTTCTAAATATTATAGTATGATTGGTCATCAAAATATATATATATATATATATATATATTACAATATGATTGGTTGAATAATCCTCCTCTTCCTTACTCTCTAACCAAACGTATTGGGATTTGTAATTGCTAAAGAGTATATTTAGTTTAAAAGAAATTAGAGAAGTTAAAATTTTTTTGCTGAATCAAATTAAGACATTAAGTTAAAATTTTAATTAAATTGAACGAAAAATTTTCTCTTTTCTCCATTTTTTTTGAAGTAAACATTGAGAGGAATAGAGAGGAGGAATGATTTTTTAGGTCAATTAAATTATAATGTTAATCAATATTATAATTTGATTGGTTAAAATATTTATCCCTCTGATGTTCTCCCCTCAATTTTTTGCAAACCAAACATACTTCATTGTATGAAAAACCAATTTTATGAACTCATTTTTAGTTAAAAGAAAAAAATTATGATCTCTTTTTTTTTTTTATGAAAAATTTTGAAATCATTAAATTTAATAGTTAAGTGGTGTTTGATATAGGTATTTGTGTTTAAATATCAATCATACTATTCTCTTTTATCCCAAAATAATTGACCTTTTTTTATTTAGAATTTTTTCCAAAATGATAGTCATTTTTCATGTTTTAATGGAAAAAAAATATTTTTTCTTACTTTAACCTTATATAATTTCTTTACTTTAATTATGCATCCTATCATAAAAAAGATAATATTATTTTTACTTTTTAAAGGTAATATAGGAAAAATTATATAT